TTCAATTTATTAACCATTTTTAGTTGGCATCATTCATCCAGCTTGAAAATAGGAAAGTGCTGCATGTTGCGTTTGAGGAACATCATTTGCTCGACTATATCAAGATGAAGCCTATTATGCAATGCAGTGATATGTAGTCCAGTATCAGAGAATAATCGCTCTGAAGGAACTGATGTTGCTAGTACCGAAAGATATTTCCGAGCCAGGCGTGATAACACAGGATATTTTTCAGATCTATCTTTCCACCATGTTAATGGATCACAGCCCCTTTTCTCAATAGGTTCACGAAGATAACAATCACCTTCGGTCTCATTATAAATTTCATCATTCAATTCTTCATTACTATATAAAGCTGCAATTAAGCTATTAGTTGTTGCAGGTTCACGATCTGAAGTGTTAAATAGCTCATCAAGCCCAACCGAAGGTTGATGATTATCTTCCTCAGTACAAAGTGTTCACACTGTATCAATTGTTGTCGCCTTTATTGTTTCATCACCAAGAAATTTCAAACTTTTAATTCGCGGGTCCAAAAACGATGCTACAAGCCTAATTTTCTTAGGAACCTCCCAATATTCTTTAAGAGAAAGGAAACATGCAGCCTTAACCAGATCACATAAACCTTCATTAGTAACAGGTGTTTCAATTAACCGATGACCTTTAAATCGTGAATCATTATATGTACTTTTTTTGACTTTGCTATGGTCACGTTTGTTTCTTCGTCCTTATGCTGCTTGTAATGGTTGTTGAAGTTGTTCCGAACTCACTAGTGTATCAAATTCATTTTCTATATCAGATTCAGGATCATCTTCCTCGATTAATTGGCTTTGGCTAAAATAAATAATAATAAGATATTATAATAAATATTATATCAGAAAGAAAATCGTCTAAAGCCATACAGTTTTTAAGTTAATTACTAATCTGTCTATTTATGAATCAAAAATTATGAAGAGAATTGAACTGACTACTGTACTAGAGTTAATACCTGAATTCGGAGTTAATGTTTAAATTTGCTATGATTGGGTATGATTGAAACTCATATGTTTAGTATATACCGTACTAATATAAATCCAGATTTAATATTTAATATTTAATGTTAATTATTAAATTCGAATTTACAGCTGTTCTTATAAATTCTGGGACACCTAAAAATTTATTCATTTCCCGAAATCTCTTCGGTTTCGTTCTATAAATCATCTAACTCTTCAGAAACTACGTCGCTATCTTCAGAACTTCAGTTCGGAGACAGCGATGTAGTTTCCGAAGGGTTAGATAATTCACAGAATGAAACTGAAGAGATTTTGGAAAACGAATAAATTTTTAGGTGTTTTAGAATTTATGAGAACAGCTGTAATTATCCAGATTTAATTATTAAATCCAGATTCAGATATTAACTCTATACTGTATCTGATTTTAAAAAACATTTTTATTTTTAATAAAAAATTTTTTAACATGCCTATTAATAGGTTCAAATAATAAATCGGCATAGTCATCTTTGCTTTGTTCATAAGAAGGTGCAAACTTCTTAATAAGCAATCTCATTGTTGGATAAATAAGGTTAAGAGTAGGATAGTTTGAACCAGAAAATATATTAGTGGCCTCATAGAATGGCTTTAATAATGAAATAAGATTATCTAACAATCGCCATTCAGTTTCAGTTAGATTTATTAATTTTAAATATTCGCCGTCAAGTCTGTCACAGCGTTCTGATTCTGAAGGCAACATTAAAACAAGATAATCAATTGCTTTTTGTAGTTCTTTAAGCCGGACCCAAGCCAAGTATGAGGAGTTCCATCTTGTTGGCACATCATCGATTGTTTGGTAAATCTTTGGATATCTACATTTTTCTTGTGCATCTATAAGTCGTTCAGATTGCTTAGGGCTTTGAGAAAAAAAAAGAATTAAATTTTTTGCTCGCTTAATAAGTCGTACTGCGGGTTTAAGACCTTTTAGCACACTCAGTTGAAGTGTATGGGCTGAACAAGATGATCGTGTAATATTATCCATTAAACTAATTGCCTTTTTAACATTAGCCCCATTGTCAGTCGTAATGCAAAAAACTCGCCCAGTGAGTCTCCAATTAGTAATAACTTGATTTAGGGAATCTTCAATAGCTTTAGCTGTATGTAGTGATAGAAGTAGTTGTATTGTTAATAAAGCTTTCTTTAATTCAAAATTTGAATTGATCCATGTTACTGTGACCCCAATATATGCTTGATTGGTTCTTGAGCTCCATAAATCTGTCATCAGATTAACATATCCGCCATCCATATTTATTATACCAAATAATTGATCGCAACTCCAATCATAAGCCTTATCAATCATTTTTTTCACAGTTTTTTCACAAGGAATTTGAAATCCGGGCTCCATATAGTTTAAAAGTCGACAAAAAGCTTTACTTTGTAAAATATGAAAAGGTTGACAATCCTCGATTATAAATTCAACTAATAATTGCGCTATTTTTTCTTGTCTCTGCTTTGTAATAATATGCATAGCCTTGATAATTGAGTCATTAGTGTTAGTTCCCTCAGGATGGTCTTTATCAATTCGATGCTTAGACCAAAGATGGCTAAGCATATTTCCTGTTGAAGAATCATG